ATAGGCATTGTGCTATAACCCACTGACCCTTGGTTATTTGTCATAAACTGATTCGCCCCAGACCCAGACCCTAATTGTGGTGATGAATTCGATGTGAATTGTGTAAACCTGCCATAAAGGAAGTTGGCATCCCATAAGAGGAGTTTCTGGTTCTATTACCATCGAAACCGGGTGGTCTAGTTAGTGGAGTGGCGAAATGGGATTGTGTCCCTGATGGTGGAACAAATCCCCCAGGGTAACCAATGGTTCCAGTATTTCCTAAGATCAAACTATTAGTTGATATGCCACTTACTCCATTGGTGGCTATATTACTGGTTGAAGATGCAACAGACTGTGCATTCGAAGGGATTACATTAGATGTTCCCATCGAAGTGGACACATTAGTGCCTGTTGTATGTGGGGCATTTTGTTCCTCTTGTTGATTGTCAGAATTAGACATCTTGGTCAAACGTTTTCTTCTGGATAAAGGTTGGTTGCTGTTGGTTATTTTACCACTTCTCAGGTTCATAAAACAGCAAACTTCTTAGGTTCCAACGTTTTTATAATGGTTATGTCTCAACAATCTTTATTTCTAATGTCCAATTATTGGTCCCACCGGGTGTGCCAATTTGTTTCCAGTGATTTCTGGTAAATAACCGCTAGTCTTCCAAACTATCGAATAAACTTACTGACTGTTATTCAATTCCTCTGGTAACTCACAGGATCGACTAGATTGATCCTAGGATTCCTTGGTCATTAGGGTAACTCTCATGATCGAACAGATATTCATGGTTGATATTTGAGTGTTGTATAGGTGTTTGGTTTATTTCGATTTCTCTCTTAAAGGTCTAAAGGTGTAATCAAAATGTACGTGCGCGAAACTAACTTGCATGAATAAATGTTAATTGTAAAGACATTTAAAATTGTATAAAAGAGAAGTAAATGGCTTCGAATTATAAAAACAGTTAATGTAAAAGATGTTCTGGAACGTAAAAGATTTGAAATATGAAGAAGGCGTTTAATGCAAGAAATCTGTAAATGACTTTAAGTAAAAATAGGCGTTCGAAGGATAAAGCTTGAAGATAAAGGCATGGAAAGTATGACAGTTTTCTGAAATGTAAAGTGCTTGAAACGTAAAGAAAGCATTGAAATGTAAGGCTTTAATGAAGAGATTTTGAAGTAAAAAGACTTTAAATGAGAAAACTTGTAAATGGTATTTGGCAGAAAGATAAAGGAAAGTGCTGGAAATGATAAAAGGTTTTCATTAAATCATAAATATGTGGTGCTATCATACGTACATTGCTCTTGCATTCGTTTCCCTTGCCATGTGGTAGTTTGAATGTTACTGAGTATTTAGTACAATAGATATGACACACGAAATCCTAATACTAAGACTTCTATTTATACTAATTCGACCATAACGGTCTTGCTATAGGATTATGCCACGTTCAGAACATGCAGAACAATGTCTCTCTCTTCTTTCCACGTGTCTCCAAATGCTCCAGCACATAAATTTCAAACTTCGAATGTCCTGCTTCCATTTAAATTTCAAATGCTTTGGTACTTCTCCGTTTCGAACGTACTTCTCAGACACAACCTTGTTGTTATTTCGAGACTTCTTTAGATATGTTCCCATAATTGCCACTCGAAGCTTCAAGCTTTGATATGCTTATTCAAAACACTGCTTCTTCTACTTCGAAACATGACGCTCTGTTTCATTTCGATCGAAACGTTCAATTCGCTTGGCTTCTAATAATATTATCAAAATCTTCAGCCAACAGTGGGTGACGGTCGTCACACGCTGAAGTGGTGTCTTACGCTCGTCACAGGGGCGTGACGACCGTTTCCTTATGTTGTGGGGTGTTACGCCCGTCACAGGGGCGTGACGACCGTCAGGCATCCAGAAGTCCACACTTTGTATTTTTTTTAATTCTTTTTCTCTTTGTTTTTCGTCTAACTTTCTTCATGTTGTCCTTTTTCATTGATTTGAGTCGACAAGTGTCACACCTGCAAAAAAGACAAATAATCTCAGAATAATCGAGGGTTAGACGACTTAATGGAATATAAAATCGGTAAAAGTATGTTAATTATACGATATGTTTTCTCGTTATCAATGACAATGATGTCAGCGCACTATTTGAAACATTTGTTGGAAGTTTAAAAAATACTGCATATCTCTCGATTAGTCGAAAGTGATATTTTTGAGAGGAAATTTGTTAGCACAAAAATTTCAACATGATGAACTCGACACAGGAAAATGGTGCCAAAATAATACTTAACAAAAAATAATACTTGATAATGTGTTTGACAAAAGTGATTTTCAAACATTGCTGTCGAACTGACCAGATTAACCCTAAGACTTGGGACTAGTGTATTTTTCAGAGTTGTGACAATATTGTTTTTCCAAATTCGATGAAATTGATGATTGACAACAAGAATTGAAACACATTATCAAGTATTATGATGTCAGCGCACTATTTGAAACATTTGTTGGAAGTTTAAAAAATACTGCATATCTCTCGATTAGTCGAAAGTGATATTTTTGAGAGGAAATTTGTTAGCACAAAAATTTCAACATGATGAACTCGACACAGGAAAATGGTGCCAAAATAATACTTAACAAAAAATAATACTTGATAATGTGTTTGACAAAAGTGATTTTCAAACATTGCTGTCGAACTGACCAGATTAACCCTAAGACTTGGGACTAGTGTATTTTTCAGAGTTGTGACAATATTGTTTTTCCAAATTCGATGAAATTGATGATTGACAACAAGAATTGAAACAAATTGAAAAGGTTAGATTGAATAAATGTTTTTTGATCTTATCTCTTTATTGAAGACACATGGAAGTCAGAAGGTTGAAAACCATGTAGTAAAGTACGTGTCGATTGCTAGAAACATAGTCATTACAAATAATTACTTTTATATATATATATATATATATATATATATATATATATATATATATATATATATATATATATATATATATATATATATATATATATATATATATATATATATATATATATATATATATAAGCAAAATCTTTTTTTCATTTACCTTTCACCTATCTTTTCGGCATTCACTTTTTTCATTTTGCACTTTATTTTACAGATTTTGACTCAGACGGATTTCCTTGCAATTTTAAACCTTGTTTCTCTTATAAATTTGTAATCAATTCTATGCTAAAAAGAACAATCTAACACTTATTTGAAGAATTATGCACAAATTTTCTAGTTTGGTAATGCGAGCAACTATTTTAAAATTAAGTGATTGTATACCAAAATCACAGTAATCAATACACCGTCAATTGAAAATTTATTCTTAAATATAGTCAAAAAATTCATAATTCTGTTCAAAATTCATAATTTTGTTCAGAAGACTCTGAATTCATTCCCATATATAACACGCAAGCAAAACATCCCAACAATATTGTACCACGGTTAAATATAGATATTAAAATTCAGACAAATTTTTTACTTAAACTAGTCGATAACCCGTGCTGTCGCACGGGGCCGGTCGAGAATTCATAAAACGTGGAACTAATGTTGTCATGTAACAGTAAATTCGTTTTTATGTAATTTAATAAAAATTCATCTAATTCGGCCAAATTCAGTGTATCAAACTTATTTGACAACATTAAAAAAGTGGTCAACATTAAAAAACTGATCCTCCAGGCATCTACCTACTCATGAAACTTGTTATTCCCTGTTGCAGAATTCACCCAAAGTGTTAGTTCAACACTCCTGCCACAACTAAGAATAACAAAATTGCAATTAATTGATAATGATACATTATCTTAGAAATCTACGGTGAAGTACATCTTTAAATCTGGTGAAAGATTCTTTTTCGTGATGCTTAGGATTTAATTACCCTAAATTATCAAACAAATAGTACTTGCAAGAAGCATTCTCATGAAAGAGATTATAATGTCAAGCACCGGAATTAAAAAACAAAAAACAAAACTCAAAATCATAGCACAATTGCTCGTGAATATGTGTATATAATAGAGAATCACGTACACCAATTACAATAAATTACTGACCACAAACTCGAACATGCAAATAAGGAGCTTTCATCTCAGCGTCCAATCGTTGAAGAATAGACCGGTCAGCCCTCGTGATAGAAATTGTTAAACCTGAAGGAAAATGACATGATAATCAGAATTTTTAAATGAAATCGGCATCCAAACTGAGTGTGCATACATTGTCAAACTCTTTCAAAAGCTCTTGAGCCTTAGAGCAAGCTTATCCTAAAACAAATACAAAGTCAAAAGATGATAAAATATTCCTAACAGTAGCATGACAGAAGGGGTGGATAGCTTCGCAAAATAATGTATCATGATAATTTTCTCAAATATTTGAAGCATGTCTACATTGCAGTAATACACATGCACATATTTGTTGATGTTATCAAGCTACGCTTTACACTCAAGAAATAATAGAATGATACATTCTAAGGAAGCAAAAATATGTTCTCACTTACTGTTTCTTCAAAGCAACATATGAATTCAAATATTTGATCTGCAACGGAAAATGCAAATATGCTAACCACCCAAAACTCGTCCATCAACCCCTGCAAGAGAAACATATAGACTGCTTGGTCTTTTATGTTAACCCATAGTATATATAGGGGCATATCGCCTAATAATGATCAAATTGACCCTGCAGTGCAAAATGAAGTTTTGTGAAGAGAATTGAACCCAGGGAGATTGATATATAATTAATCGGTTATTTTGGCAATGAGAGAGATAAAGTGGGAGTATGCATTGAGCCAAGAAAGATATAATGCCTCACATGAAATGGCTTTTCATTTCTCAAGGTGACCATATGGCCATTGAGTTTCTTTGAAGTATTTAAAATTTGAAATTTGAAATCCAATTAGCGTGAAAAATCGCTTCACCGGAAAGTCCACCTTACTCTCCTTGGCCAAAATATCCATAAAACTTTTCTTGGAACCGACATTATCCAACTCTAAGCTGTTGTTTTTACCAACATTGTGAAAATCATTTCTATCTACCCAATTTTAGAAACACCATCAAAGACTAAACTACTCTTTGAGTTGATGTGCAATCCTTCATCTTCAATAATGGGAATATTCACATTCTTCATCATAGAATTGAAATCAGAAAAATCAGAAGACCAAGGAGCACTTTCATTTCCATATGGAACCAAAATTGACTGAAACAATAAATAATTAACACCAAGTGCTGCCAACAGACAAAGAATCTCATGTTTCCATATGACACAACTCATGAAAATATAGAAACATGTTAACTTGTGAAAACTAAGATAACCCCAAAATCACTTCAATCGTCATTTTTTTTCCGAAAATGAACTTCAATCACACCTAATTCAGTTAATTGATAGAAAGTTGATGTATTGCAGATCAAGTATTTAAGAAAGAAAAAAAAAACAGAACACAAAAGAAACAATTGAAGTTTAAAATATTAATGTTTCTTAAACATTTTTGTTGATTGAAGTAATTGTACTAACCTCAGTGAAGTGTAATTATAGTTCACTTCAATCTTTGTATATTGCTCTCTTTTCGATCTTCAACTTTCTCAGAAGTCAAACAAAGAATCACTACTCACTATTAACACTCAGAAGAAGAAAAGATTAAAGTTACTAACTTCTGAATCTAAAGGCAACAACTTGCTAATTTTATAATAATTTGCATAAATCATTAACATTATTCATGTATAAGCTATCCAAAAAAATAATATTTATTTCTCACTTTCTTTTTCACTTTAATTTTTGTAGACAAACACCTTGGTTATATTTTTATAAATGAATAGTCATTCTTAAATTCATGTGATGTTTGCATCAGATCAAGTATAAACAAAATCAAAGAGAGTTAAAACTAATTCTCTTGTCTAAACCACCAACTTTGAGTGACATCAACAATACCTAAAACAGAACAAAGGAGAAAAGGTGAATAAATTAGTGACTCAGCTGCTGTTAAAGTTCACTAAAAACAATCAATACGTTTGTTTTGGTTTAAGTTACCCTTTTCACTTTTGTGTTGTTAACAGCTCAAGAAATGAAGTCCATTTCTTTTGTGGTGCACTCCTTTCTTCATTTCCTGGAAATTTGAAAACCCCACCGTCATCATAGACATTTCATCGAACACTTAAAGTTCATTGAGGTTTAGAGTAAAATTCTAAGTTGTGATTTAACAGAAAAGAGATTTGTACACTTACCGGTAACAAAGTCTGAGCCAACCTTCGACTGCTCAAAGCACTCTTTATTGTTGTTGTCCAAACCTTCACCATGAACATCGTCGTTCAAAACTATATCCAAACCATCGCCGTTGTCGGTTCCAGTGTAATCATCATTTGCAACGGCGGCGGCACCAGAGGCCTCGCCCTTGTTGTTTGAATCAACGCAGCCATCGTTATGACTTTGTTGTTGTTGTTATGGAATGGGTTCAGTGATTTTGTGATACATTGAGAGAATAACAAAGAGGGATTTCTTGTTTGCAGAATGGATTAATTTGAATGATAATATAGAGCAATTCTTTTAAAGAGAGTATTTTCTTAATACAGAATGAAAGTCCATTGATGGAAGACAAATTTTAAGGATGCATTTAAATTTGAATATCATTTGCCTTTCCAACTTCTGCATTGTATCTATTATTTGAATTGAAATTAATCTCAAAATTATTGAAATTGAAAGAAGAAGAAAAAAATCTCAAGAGACAGAAGAAGCAAATTGCATCAATAGAAGCTAGTGTCTGGCTTTTATTGTATTTCTTTTCACTGTTTTTAGTGGATATTATTCCACCCCTACTGCAAAAGAACATGCATCAGACACTGCAGACTAAAGAAGCATTTATTTGACTGAATTAAATTAAATTTACATCACGGCTACAGAAAGGGTCCTCTACTCTATATACTGGAAAATCAAACAAAACATTGCACCAGAAACCCAACGTGGAAGTGGAGCTGCTCTTTTGCGGCCTTCCCGCAGTGAAAATGGGGTCTTGTAATGCACGGCAGGATGAGGCAAAAGTAGTAGAGAGTGCTCTTAGATGACAGTACCACTTGGAATTAATGCATCCTTGATTACTGTGACAATACCACTTTTTATGAAATAACCTTCGGTTTCCCTTGCAGCTTCTTGTACATTGTCACTGTTAATGATCTGTTGAAACCGGATGTGAGATATCCAGTAGAAAAACAAAACACGTATTACATTGATTTGAAAGCAACACAATAGGGAAGAAAGCATGCGAGGGCAAGATAAGGAAGAATGCATGAAATAACCTTGACGTCGTCACCAATTCTAGCATTCTTGTCAATGATTGCCCTTCTGATATGAGAATTCTTCCCAATACCAATTGGAACACCGCCTTTAGCAGCCAAAAACCTCCTATCAGCATCCGTCTACAGCAACAATAATCACAAGACCAATACTAAAGTTAGTACTTCTTCTCAAGCTAAAGTTGATTCATATAAACTTAATTCTGCAATGGGTATTTAGCAATGTTACCTCATAATAATCTGCTCCCATTAACAAAGTGTCCTCAATGATTGCACCTTCTGATATGCAAGAACGCAGTCCAACAACAGAATGGTGAATTTTGCAGTTCTGTGGAACAAAAAATTGAAAATATTGTTATTTTACTTGTCACATTCTTTAAGATCTTTGCAAGGAAATGTACAAACTTTTTAAGAAAACATATGAAAGTTCTGAAAAAGCTTGCCTTAATTACACACCCTTCACCAATAACACTATCGGTGATATCACTTGTTGGTACTTCCTCATCTGAAATAAGCTGCTCAGTTGGAACCTCGATAGAAGGATCCTGCTCAGAGGAGTCATTATCTTCATCTGTATCATCTGCTATGTATGAAAACTGGTCAGCAGTTTTTCCCTTCATCTCAGGCCATTCTAAAATATTAAAGTGAAAGATATTTACATCTTTAATTATGCAAATTTCTTTCAAACTCAGTGACAAATGATATTAAAAAACCATCAGAATGAGATCAGGTTCATATATTGGAAGCAGATTTATATTCAAGTGCAGATTTACATTGCACATATTTTTGTCCAAAAGTAAACACTTTTCTAGTTATTCAATATGAGAATCCATCCCAACAACACCTTTTGGATCCTTTGAACCCAAATCAAGTAGATTTAACAATCTTCTCAATCAGATCATTTTGAAGGCTGAAAAAGAATCAAGATATATAAAATATATCAGAAAACAAATCCGATTGCTTATCTTTGTATCTATTTAATTTATGCAACAATCTGGCATGGAATTTAAAAGAGTTAACCATAAATTTGTATATGTTGAAGAATGTTTTAGTAAACTGTAGTTTGAAGTGAGAAAGACTTACTTATCACGTAGATCCCGTCGTGAGATATCAGCTGCTTGTCTGAGAGCTTCCCTCCATCGTTGAACTTTATTACATTCTTAGAGAATACCATAATGAAAATCTGAGAGTGTTTGATTGCACGGAAGAGCTCGGGTCCTATCGATTCACCTGTATCATCCTAACTCTTGAGACAAATCTGGCTACGGCTGTACCAGAGATTACTCTCTCGATGAAACCGCAAATTGAATCGAAGTAAACCAAATAGAGAACAGATAATGCAGAAAATAAAATTGATTGGCATAAGAGGAAAATTAGGTTTTTCCATTGCTCCATTTCGTAGGTCGAGGTCATCTGCATCCAATTCACCAACCTCTAATACTCCGCCCTTAACCACCGGCAAAAACAAACCCAAACTAAACCCTAAACCTCTTTTGTGGTTGCCGAAGCTTGAAAGGAGATAGTGGTTGATTGAGAGACATATGATGGTCATTAGCAAATTGAAGAAGATGGTTGGAGGTTGAAATCGTAGAGCATAGACTCTCCCGAGACTTCTACATTTCCTCTATTCTTTTTAAATCAGAGCACTACTGATAAATTGGAAGAAATTAAAATTGGGTTTATGTAATAGAACAATTGGTAACTGGAAACACTAAAGGGTTTATTGGAAGTTGGACCTGGTGGTTATTTGAAAAGAGACTCTTCATATTCTACATCTATGCATGTACGTGTATTTAATTCTTATTGATTAGGTTTAGAGAATTCAAATTCTGCATTAGTTACTTTGTTAGTGAAATGAAAAAAAAAATAAAAATTGTAAGAAATTGAATCATGATTTAGTGGTAACAAAATAAATGAAAAATTGTATCAAATTTTATTGTGATGACACATGAGATGCAATTAATGCCAAAACAATATAGTGAGAGTAGTGTTTAAAAAAAAATTGAAAATGTGGTGAAAAATTGTGGGAGTGCCACATCAGATTCAAATCAATGTGGTGCAAGATATTTTGGAGTTTCCAATTTTACCCCAATACAATAGACCAACAATAGAATTTTTCAGCTGTGGTGTTGTGGTCATTTCCAGGGACTATGATTTTTATATATTTATAATAGATGAAAGAAATTTGGTACAACTTGTTAGTAATCACAAGAACATGGGGTGGAGTGAATACTACCCCCAAATTAATCTCCACTAGAATAAATGACTCGAAGAACTTTAAGAAATCTACACCAATAATCTTCCAAAACTCTTTTAAGAACCCATATTTAACCTCATCCGGCCACGGCTTTTATTACTATTACAATCTCACATGGCTTCTTTCTCTCTTCCAATTTAAAAGGTGTAATTAGAGATGTGCATTAACCATCCGAGAAACTTTGAAAAGGAAACATTTCTACCGAACATCTACTAAAACATTTCAATTAAAAATGACCTTTGAAGTGATTGAAAATCTCCATTTTTACCTTAGTCGCCCCCAACTCTCACACCATTAACATTTATACTTAAAAGAGCGGTATTTCATCTTCTCTGAGCAACCAAAACATTTGGAGAGAAAAACTTAGTAGCATCGGCTCCTTCAATATTTGCATAAAATAAAAAATTCTTGACAGAACAAAACTGTAACCGCAATGTGTAAATTTGTATTAATTACAGGAGGTTTTTCATATATTCAGGCATAGTATGCTCTTTATACACAATTACAGATAATAAGCTAATCGAATATACCCCTAAAGAAGTAAAACACAATTCAACTATGGCAAATATGCTTACATATACAAATGATATATGCAAGTGATGAATTAAAACCTGAACAGATCATCATTGTTGAAGGATGCAACAGATGGTCTATAATTGTATTTAACCTGAACCAGTATAATTGTATTTTCTATAATTGTCACCATTGCTTCCTAAAGTTATTCAGTATTTGGACCTTCAATTGAGATTCTTCTAGTTTTAAGCCAATGCATCAAATGCTTTTGCAAGGTTGGTGACCCTTGTAACTGTCGTGAACCTATATATAGTTTTTTCCCGACATGTTTACTCGTTTAATTCCTGGCAGTACACCACATATTATAGATACAGAAAAGAAATAATTAGCTCAACATATGTAAAAAATTGAGCACTCGTCTAACTAAAGCATAAGAATTTGTTGTTGTTTCAATTTGGATGAATGATGGGTATGAAGAACTTTGTAGTACTATGACCCGTGTCAGTGGTGTCGGACACCCACACATGTGACTACATTCAATTAATTAATTTTGTAAATTATTATCAGTGTCCACGTGTCAATGACGTGTTTGATGTTCATGTTGGTGTCAGTGTTTCACAGATGCTGACACAAGTCTAAACTACTTCTAATGGTTTCTCCTCATTTGAAGATAAGTATCACGAGGACCCTCTTAAACCTTAGAACATGCGAGAAAAATAATACACAACAGTCTTCTTAGTTCTCACCTTAGAATTCTGGCTTGAAGTAGATGAGCTTGTTTCTGACACTTCCTCAATTTTTCGGGACTCTGATTTCTCATTTGAATATCTAAAAACAAGATAAGTTTGTATAAGGAATTGAATCTTCTTTCCAATTTTTAAAGATTATATGTAACACTAGTTTTATGTTATTTATGTAGTATGCATCCATGTTAAGTATAAGAACCAAACCATCGGCACAATGAATCCAAAAATCCAATTGTATCAATTAAATTGGTTTGGCTTTTCACATGTTTGGGTTCAACATATTTTGTTCAACGTTTTCGTTTTCTGACTGGCAAATAGTCCGAGAGAACTTACGTTGAAAGTATAGTGACCCAGATGAGCTCGATGCAATCCACCCAAAGAAGCCTTTGTTCCACAGGAATAACACCATAAGTAATCAAATGGGCAAAAGGCCAAAGCTTCCAACCTGCCTGTGAAGCACATTAGAGAGAAATTTTAGTCATCTAAACAGAATTAAATTTCTAATCAAACAATGGTCTATTGATAAAAACAGTATACACAGTTTAATATTTCATTTCATCATACAAGTTCCTCCTTGAACTGTTAGTTGTACTATAGAACTCCTCCTTTACAAATCGTCCCTTACTATAGGTAATAAGCGTCTTTTACAAGATTCTGTCACTTCATCAATTTTCTCCTTTTACTTTATTATTACCTATAGTAAGGGACAATTTATAACATGATTTTGATGTTTCATTTTCTCCATGACATTACAATGAAGTTTAAGCTACATGAACAGAGACGCAAGTTATTACAGATAAAAACTTAACTAAGCGCTTATCATATAAGTGCTTATGTATAAACTATTTCTGTAATGAAAGATAAAATCGAGTCAAATTATTTTTATATAAGCTATAACCTGTTTCTATAAACTATCATGAAGAGCTTATAAAAATAAGGTGAAATCAGCTTATGGACATATCATAAGATGTTTTCGTAAGCTCTTCCAAACAGTATCACAAGTGCTTAAGTTTGAAGATAAGCTCAACTAAGTTTATTCAAACAAGTCATAAAAAACAAATAGGTTCTTACAGTAAGCATGGGCACAAATGTTGACTTGAGTTCACCGTAAATGTTAGTCAAAGAATCGAAACGCAACAAGCCCAAAACCACAAAGTAGATGCTATTCCAAATAGCTGACCACACAGTTTGATCAAAAGCAACTTTAGCAGGGACAACCCACCATTCTTGGAAAGGAAAAAGAGTCTGCAAAAGTGAAACAATCCCAACAATTGTAGCCATTTACATAATAAAACCGAATAATCCCAAAATCCAAACCAAAGATTTACAATAAACACCTCACACAGTTGGTAGTAATAGTGAGAAAGTGATCCATGGAGAGTAAATCCAACAAGACCTGATCTGAATAGCCGCGCCCGATCAAACTCAAAAATAGGTTTTCCTTCGTAACACTGTATAATATTTTTGTAATAATAACCTATAAGGGGCTGATAACGTACCACATAAGCACTTCATAGAATTTGCAAGTCAAAAACATACCTGAGCAATCCAATCTCCAATTGAGTAGACAACTCCACTTATTGCCATTTTAGCTAAAACTGGATTTGTTTTCAGAGATTGCTCATAGGCAATCCAATTGTGCTCAGGCACATACCTCAGTATCTCATAAAGTGTCCAACCCTGAAACACAATAAAAACACTAGATTCAACCCAGCCATCTTTCCCACCAGTATCCACTATTATAAATCATAAAAAGTAATTTGCTTAACCAACAATTTGAAAAGATTATAAGTATCACATTAACTATAAAGATCATGCAGGTTAAAGCCAAATTATGAAACACAAAGCCTTGAACTAAAAATCAACCAACAACTTAAGAAAAAACTTCTTTTTGTATAGATGAAATAGGATCATCTCTGGACTGGGATAACTCTGATTGGGCCCTGGAAGAGTATAATCCATAACTCAATCAGTCCAAAACGTCTTTAAGGGGGCGATAGGACAAATCAGAGTCAGACAGGCTCTATATGGCAGGTCATGGGTCGTCCGACCAGATCCACCCCGCCTAAGGCATGGGTCGCCCGGCCCAAACCCGTGTTATTAAAGTGGTAACTGCACTAATAGATGTCAGGCTACATGTCCCTGAAAGGGGCGGTATTTACCACTTCTCAAGGGAGAAGCCGTCCTTCCTATTCTTGGAGAAGAATGAGTCTTGTTGTTTCCACACCATAGACAAGCAGTTGGGTTTTAAGCGGTTCGGCTCATGCTCATGGATTATGGTTACAAATATCCCAATCCCTAAGGTTGGGAAAAGGAAACATCGAATATTTTCAGCATATTCACATATCAGAGAATAAAAGACTTTCGCCAGTTACATCACGTGATCCACTCTATTGTACATTTTGCAAGTACAATCTCGTATTCGGGCCTTGTTTGGATAAGCAGTTTAATTCAGAGCTTATAATATAATTGCTTACCATTTAAGTGCTTATGTATAAATTATAAACTATTTCTATAACATAAAGATGTAATGAAGTCAAAGTGCTCTAATATAAGCTGTATTTATAAACTAACTTAGAGAGCTTATGAAAATAAGCTGAAACCAGTTTATAGACATGTTATAAATTGTCTCTATAAGCTCTTTCGAAGAGACTCACA